ACAGAACGCAAGTAACATATGACTGGATCACCAAACGATGAAAAACCAGTGAAGGAACAAGTGTTCCTTTACTGAGTTTTTTCTAAGTTAATGAAAATGAAAGAAAAACTTACATTTTCTTGTACCTTTAGTGAAGTTTTGTATCAAAAATATGTTAAAAATACAAAAAACAACTTCTAACCAGTGAAGGAACAGGCATTTTCCTTTATTGGGCATAGATTTCCCAGTGAATGAGCAGTATGTGTTAATATGTTGAAACTTTACTTTTCAATTCATGATTACAAAAAAAGTTAACATTTTCCAAGTATTTGTATCTTAGAATAGGCCTGTTTTATAGGCTTGTTTTTAGAAATTTGTATGGCACATAAATTCATAAAGAGCATTAAAAAATAACCAAAATTAAGTGTTCCTTTACTGGTAAGAGCTGTTCCTTCACTTGGTCTTCTTACTACTTGTTATTTGAACCACCAAAACTTTAGTACAGTATTATGTAAGTTCTCTACAATTTTTTTGCATAATTTGCAATTACTAGCAATTATGTTGACACTGTCATTTAACTAAAATTACGAAATTTGAAATTAATATGATTTTTTTAAAAGGCAAGCGAAGCTTAAGTGTTACTTCACTGGTTAGTTTACCCTATTCATTTTAACAATGTTGCTTCATATTTCTTAAATTTCATCAGTAAATAACTATTAGATTTGACGTTTCTTTAAAAAAATTTATCACATTTTTATACACTTACTAATTGCTTTGTTGGTTCTTTAAATACTCATCCTTCAGAACAAAGTGGGTCAAATTACCCTTTGGTAAGAAGGTTTAACCCAGTTTTTTAGCTCTTAAAAAATTATTTATAAAACATATTTTTTAATTTGAACAAGTTTCTAATTTAAGTAAAAAATATTGATGTAAACTGGGAGCAAATATTATAAGCTATTAGATAATTATGTTAAAAAATGTATACAAAAAAAAATTGCACAAACCTTCCATGTTTTCCCTAACAACAACCAAAGTTGATTTAATAAAAAAATTTGCTTATCTACAAAGGTGAAAAATTCATGTCTTCTTAATTTCCTACCAAAATTTGATATAGAAATTCCTAGTTCACGGATTCATGTACGATAAATTTGGAAAATCAATTACAATCATTAAAATCAATTACAATCATTAAGTAAATTAAACAATTAGGCTAGTTGAAACATTTAGGGTGAAAAAAAGCTTTTATAATAAATTAGAAAAAATATCTAAATTTTGTAAGAAAGAAAAATTAGACTTGAACGAGGCCCAATTTAACGCTAACGTACGTAACATAACAGAAATCTCAAGACAGACCCTCCCCCTATTTACAGCCCTAGAAATTTTTGTTCCATGCAATTTATGACCAGAAATCAGACAAAAGAGTGTTTCTGTGGATATCTGATATTTCCGAAGTCAGGAAAAAAGAGGGCAAGGCAATATAAAGAAACTAAAAGCATTTTCCTTCAGTGTAAAGTGAGGAGGCTAATTGACAACTCTGTGGATGGTAGCTACGAAAGTGGGGATATTTTCATCAGTGGAAAGAGAGTTTTATTGCTCTTTTGGTTAGAAAAGTGAAGAGAAACAATTATTTTATATTTGTTAGCACTTCGATTAGATTTTGAAAAGCGTCCGACAATCTAAAAAAGAATAAAAAGGTATTATGGGTTTCAGAGGAGCCCAGCTCGGAATAAAACTTTATAAAAAGAAGAAAAAAAGTGGGATCTGGGGAAGTTATAAGTAATAAATAAGTTAGAATAAAAAATAAACAAACAATTAATGCAATGAGATTTGAGACTTTTCGGGGGCCCCATCATTAAAAACGGCTCTGCATATAACGAACTTATTATCGGGATTTAGAGACTTCGTTAAATAGAGGTTCAACTGTAATTATAAAAGAAGTGGCGAAGTCCACTACAAACGAACAACTATAACGAATCGAGTCCACTATAAACGAACAACTATAACGAATCGAGTTCACTACAAACGAACAACTATAACGAATCGAGTCCACTATAAACGAACAACTATAACGAATCGAGTCCACTATAAACGAACTACCATTCTCTTAGCTGTTCACTATAAGTGTATAAAATAACAGTTCGAACAGGACCACTAAAAACATTCACTGCAACCAAGTGGGTTTCTTATACAGCGAGTTCTTCCTAACATAAACATAACCAATTTTTATCATTTTTATATTGGCTGATATTTCATTACAAAATTTATCAGCATTTACAATATCGTTATTCAATAATTATCGTTATGCATAATATTGGCGATGGTATGTTACCATTCTTTTAGATATATTATCGATAATGTTCGCGATATTATAGAATTTAATCTGAATTATCACTATCGATCGCGATATTTAATTACACCTACTTCATATGTCTTATCAGTAGCAAGAGACCTGCATATATCATGATACGGCGTCCAAGAGGTTGAAAGAAGGTTATGACAATTAGATAAACAACAGGGTGCTTACTCAAATTTTTTTAACAAAAAATAAGCACCTTTTAAGTATTTTTTAAGCACTCAAAAAATATTTTTAAGTACTATATGCATTACAAAATAATTTTCAATGATAAAATAACTAGTTTCTGTAAAGCATTTTCTTCTTGATTATATTAGCCATTATAAAATGATCGAGAGGTTTTTCGGTTCGATAGCTGAGGGCATTGCCTGAATGAAGCCTGAAATTGAAAATAATCTTGCAAAATGCAGCAGAGTTGCACATGAGAGTGCAACGATCTCACAGAACCCAGCTCAGTAGACGCACATGCGGACTCGCAAGTATTTTATCAAACATGTAAAATGAATTGTGAAGACATTGAATAGAAAAATGTAAAAAACACGCTTTTGCATAATAAGTGGCGAAACTCGACATGGTAAAGAACAAAAATCTCGTTTTTGAAAAGAGAAAATGAAGCACTTTTAAAAAACACCCAATAAAAAAAGAACTTTTAAGAGCTTTTAAAAAACGAAAATAAGCACCTTCAAGGACTTTTTAAAAACGCTACGCACCATGCGAAAACATAGGGCTTGAATGGATATTATGATTATTACTCAAAATTGTAACTTATCACAAAATGAATGAAGTCATAATAAGGGAGCCTTACTCCCCAGCTCGTTTCGCTCAACAACCCCCAAGATAGCCTCACAAAATCATTTTTATTTCTTTTTGATTCACAAAGCCTATTTATCAGCATTATAAATTGATATATTTCTATTCCATTTTCCTTATAGTATTTAAATTGCGCATTTGCATACATTATAGTATTGCATGCATATTAAAAAAATATGTATTTTTAAATATATCATTACTATTAACAATATTTCAGTTTTAATTATACGTACAAAAGTAAACACTAAAAATATCTTTTTTTAGAAAAATCAAAAAATTTATTTAAATAAATTTAAAAGGGAGAATGTCTCAAGCTTCAAAAAATAACTTAAGTTTTTTGATTTCTGTATTTTTTAAAATAAAAAAAAATCTGATCAATAATAAAAAATATAAACTAATATACTGTTGATTTATAATAATTGTGTAAGAAATAAAAAATTAATGGCCGTTTAAAAAATTTCTAAAAGTGAGTACTTATTGAACAAATAAATGGCAAAAGTAACTTTTTTAGTCAGATATACAGTTCAATAGAATGGGTATTGTGAAAAATGATTCCCTTAGATTTACGTACATAAAAAAATTCTCGTTTTGCTCCACTTTGATTAATTAATTCATTTATTTTTCATATCTGCCAACATTGGAGAAATAAAATAACGGGGATTTCACTAACAACATTTTTTAGGCTACGAGTGAAGTTTTGATACACCATGCATAATTATGTAAGTATAAAGAGAAATTCAAAATTGAAAATAATATAAGGACTTACATTTAGCGAAGTAAAAAATATGTATATAAATCTTAATCTAAAGAAGAAGTTTTAAAACCATTTTTTGTAATTACTTAATCTATTTTATTTTATAACCGTTGTTGAACAGCCGACCCAATTTAGGGTTTACAACTACTGATGTTGAACTCCGTAGCTTTGTAATTTTGAACCCAATCCAGAAGACAAAGGAACTTCTGGATCAAGTATTAGGAGAACTTTGCGTTCATGGAAGACTTTTTGATGGAACTAATCTGCATCTACATTACATGAAGAGGAAAAGCACGAAGACCTCCCACGGTTAGCCTGATGGCAAAGGGGACTCTAACTCATGATCCGTTTACTACTGAGGATATTTTAACGTCAGCATTTTGGTCAGTGCAAGCCAGCTGTGGATTTCGTAGCTGTTGTTATTGTTAATTAACGTCGCACTAGAGCTGCACAATGGGCTATTGGCAACGGTCTAGGAAACATCCCGGAGGATGATCCGAAGACATGCCATCGCAATTTATGGATTTCGTAGCAGCCAGTCATGGGATTTAAAGCCGGTTCACCTCATTGGACGGCAAATGCTCTATGCCCTGAGCCACCACTCAACATACTGCAGTACTGGCAATAGCACCATCTGTTGAGGAATATGAGAAGTACTTTTGCCATCAGTGGATATTTTATCGCCTAATTATTTCCTTTTTTTTAATTTCTTCCACAAATACAGAGAAATTTGAGAATATATAGATAAACAGGAGATAGTGGTAAAATACATCTTCATTATAAAACAGGAGACTCTGCAGATTTGATTTTAAAAAAAAGAAGATAACTTAAGAGTTTTATTCTTTAAATTTATGGCATTAGAAATATGAAAATATAATACACATTAATATACACACTATTTGTCCTACAAAGAAATCATCAGTAGAGAGATTTACAAGACATTTCAAGATGAATGATACAAATAAATTTATTAGAAGAAATTCACAACAATATGGAAATAACATAATTAAATGTGTTATATAAGATTATTTTTACAGAATGACAAAGATTTGATGATTCAGATGACTCGATTATTAAAGATGGGAAGACTTCTTACTAATTTGTCTAATTTTGACTTGAACACCTCACTAACAATTTCTTTATTTAATTTACATTCAGGATTTTTCACCACATATTCAACATACACCTGCAAAATAATATAAAAATTTATTGCTTTCATTCATAAAGTGAAGCATATCTAGGTACCCCAACAATCATATAGGTGCAGAGAAAAATTATTTTATTCCTATTTAATTTCACAAATCAGGAAAATGGCTATTTTCCAGTCCCCAGTGTATTTCATGCTTGTTTTATGACTTTAATGGGACGGAAAGTGAGATTTTAGAATGTATCTTAATTTCTGTGGCAGAATTTTTTCGGGCTTTCTGCGATAAACTTTCCCAGCACTAATATTTTGCTTTAAGATACTTTTAATCATAACAATTACTAAATTAAAGTAGCAGAAACTTTGTGTTTAAAAAAGAAGATACAGCAGGGTGCATAGCCAAATCTCGCAACAAAAAATAAGCATCTTTTAAATACTTTTTAAGCATTCAAAAAATATTTTTAAGCACTATATACATTAACAAAATGCAAAATAGTTTTCACATAATAAAATAACTGTAACTAGTTTCTGACAAAGAATTCTTTTCTTGATTGTATTAGCCATGATAAAAAGATCAAGATTTTTCGGTTCAATTTCAGAGGGTGGAAAATGAAGTCTGAAATGGAGAATATCTTGCAAAATGCAGCAGAGTTGCACATGAGAGTGCAAGAATCTCACCGAATCCAGCTCTGTAGACGTACAAGCGGACTCCCAAGTATTTCCTCAAACATGTAACATGATTGGGGTGCTATCATACGTTGCGGGCCGACGGTACGACGAAATAGATTGTGGTTGAATGATTTGTGAAAACGTTTAATAGAACAAAGTGAAAACCACGCTTTTGCTTAATACGTAGCGAAAATTGATACGGCAAAGAAAAAAAATCTCAATTTCGAAAAGGAAAAATTAAGCACTTTTTAAAAATCACCATGAAAAAAGCACCAAACAAAAATAAGCACCTTTAAGTACTTTTTAAAAACGCTACGCAACATGTATAGAATAACAGTGGATAAAAAATTGGAATTGTAAAATTAATATTTTTTCCATTCTAATATTATATTCTCGTATTTTGTAAGCGGGAAAATGCACTAGTTATTTCCTTTTTCGAATTTTGTAAATCATTACACAAATTAAAATTCGTAAATAAATTAAACGATAGTAAACTAGAATTTGAGAAATTATGTAGAAAGGAAAACCAAAATTTCTCCCTTCGCAAAAGAAAAATCTTTCTGCAAAAACTCAACAACGTTCTACAACAATGTCACCGTGTCGTCGCAATTCTGCCACGGGGATGACCAATAAGGTTATGATATTCCAATTTATGTAACTGAAATATACCTATATGTCATTCGCTCACTTGTCTCAATTTTTGAATTAAATGTCAATTTCTACAACTCAATGTCTTTTTTAAGTAAGGAAAAAAAAAAAAAAAACAGACGTAGAAATTAATATCACTTGCTTGAAGGATCAGTAGCTGAAAGATTTTACTAGTTTGTACTTATTTTCACTAATTCGTTAACATGTCTCTACTCTATTAGACTAATTGAAAAAAAAGTCAATAAAGTGAATTTAAATGGAAAATTACAATATAGAAAATGCATTATGCCACAATTATTATGAAATGAGCACTTTTGTGACAGAAACACAGACCAAATGTGAAAAAAAAAACAACAACTTCACATCAATTAACTGAAAATAATTTGTGGTGGTTTGAGTGAAATTTAATTGGTCTTGGATCAATGGACTAATATTAATTTTGTGTCCTGCTTCCCTCTCTGACAATTAGAAGCCTTGGGAGTTCCTTATGAGGCACCCTAAGGCAGTTTTTGAGTTAACTGCGACAGAACTCTCTAGAACTAATATGTTTCTGCAAGATACTTTTAATAATAACAAACATATATGTTACTTATTTAAAATAATAAAAGCACTGTGTTTACAAAAAAAGTATATATATATATATTTTAATTTCATTAAAAATTTTTTTATTCTAATATTATGGGTGATATTCTCGCAATTTTGCTGGGGGTAGGGGAACAAGCAAATAATTTCTTTCTTTGTATTTTGTAAATAATCAGCACATAAGGAAAAAAATAATTAAAAATCATGAATTCCGTAGTAGCAATTGGGGGAAAAAAAAAAGATCGACGAGGAAACCACGCGAATCGGACTCCTCAAATGCGAGTTTCATTTTGAGATTAGGTTGTTGTAATAAATAATATATAAAATATCGGATTTAAAAACTATGGAGAAATCAAAAGCAATAACTGCAAAAAATTCAATAGAACCACTGCCTTAAAAAGTAAATACTCAAACACACGATTTGAATTTTTTTATATCGTTCGAAATATATCGGGATATTTAAAAACCACGGGAAAATCAATATCAATAACTGCCGAAAATACAATTGAAACATTACATCGATTTACGATACTCTCGGCGTAAATTGAGAGTGTCAAAAAGTGATTATCTAAATCCATGATTCAAATAATATGTGTAAATTTCTGTAGGAAAGAAAACTAAATTGCTCTTTATTTTGAAAAGAAAAATTTTTCTGCAAGAACTTTTAACATTCTGCAACAATGTCGCCGTGTCACTGCTATTCTGCCAAGGGGATGAGGCAGATTATTATTTAGCATGGAATAGTAAAATGTCTGTAACTCAATTTACGAATTTCAGCTAGCAAATTTAATTTCAAAAAAAGAAAGAAAATTAGTTTATAAAAATACTATAGAGTAGTAAGGGATGCACATTTTTAGCAAAATAATTTTTTACAATATCAGTTTCATAAAGTAGTTAATAAAAAGTTTTAAATCCCTTAAATCATGAGGGAAAGTGTTTTATAGCTAAAATGCACACATAATATCTACAGAAAAGAAAAAAAACATTGTTTAGAAACAAAAATAACACATCTTACTTAAGTGCTACAGTATACTCTCGATATCTCGAACTTCAATGTTTAGAAAACCTTGTTATGTCAAAAAAATATTATCTCCCTTGGCATTATATATCCACACCTAATGTTAATTTGAATTCCTATGTTGAAGGGTTTCTTCTCAAAATCTTGCTATGTCGAATTTTTTTTTTTCGAAATTGAAAATGAATTTTTTCGGAAAAATTTTAAGAATTGTAAACCGATTCTTTGCTATTTAATGCATAATTGTTCTTGTCTTACTCTTAAAAATAAAATTATCATTGTCGTATTTAGACTTATAGTTAACTATCATTACACACACATTCAATAGTAGTTATTCTTATGTTTCATGACTCTACATTTTAGAGTTATATTTTAGAATAAATTTTTTTTTCTTCCTTTTTAGAATATATTTAGTTCTGAACTTGTTATTTTGAAAACTAGCTATCTCGAAATTTTTCTAGCTCCCTTTCAACTTCCAGACATAGAGAGTATTTTGTATTTTCAAATATAATATAATGAATAATCAAATGTAATATAATAAAATAATAGTGTATTATAAAATATAAATATATTACACTAATAACTACACATTTAAATAGATAGCAAATTTTTCTCCATTAGATCAGCTTTAATAAGAATTAATCTTTATAAAGAATTTTCTTTTATTGCTTATTATATTTTTTAATGCATAATTTTGAAAAGGGAATAATATAAATTTCATTTTAGACAGTGGTACTGTAACATATATTTGAATAACATTCATATCCAAACTTTTTATAATCCCAAAAATTAATTTGAAAATAGAATATTATCACAAATATATAAATAAAAAAATAAATAAAAATTTTAGAATTAAAGAAAAATGAAGAAAAGTTACAAAATGTTTAATAATTAAAAAATGTTTTAATAACACAAATTAATAAAATTCTCAACAAAGAAGAGTAACTATTTTAATAAGCATTTCTTAATAGAAATTTCACAGGGTTCCCATTCAATTTCAGAAAAAAAAATTCCCTAGCTTTTTCAGGTATATTAGGTAAATTTTAATGAAAATCCATACCATATTTTATCTATACCATGCAATTTTTCATCAGAAAACTTAAATTTTTTTTATTTGTAATATCAAATATTAGATTTTATGAGCAATAATAGAATGAGAATAGAAACATGTAAAAGTTTCACTAAAAAGTGGAATTTTATAAAATAATTGTAATAGATGTTGGAATAATTTAAATTGAATCTCGATAACTGATTACTGTTATTGACATTCTAAGACTGGTCACTTTCCAGGTATGATATAGGAATTTTCCAAGTTTTTGTAAACAATTGTAACTTTCCCTGACTAAAGTAATTTGGCGACCGGCTCGTACTGGCCAAAGTGTTGACGTAAATTATCCTCAGTGGTAGGTGGATCATGGTATAGAGTCCTCTTGCCATCAGGCTAACAGAGGCAGTTTTTCGTGATTTTCCTCTCCGTGTAACGCAAATGTGGGTTAGTTCCATCAAAAAGTCCTCCACGAAGGCAAATTCATCCTTTCTCTTCCGGATAGGGTTCAAAATTACAAGGCAATGGAATTGATCATTAGTAGTCGTAAAACCTAAAAATTGGGTCAGCTATTCAATAAATAAAATAAAATAGACTCTGGGATTGCTATTTATCTTCATTAAAAACTGCTATTTAATCGGTTTATGAATTATCATCACTTACTGTAGGTCTCGGTATTGCCTTTGTTTATAATCCTCTAAAGATTAAAAAAAGTATTGATATTGACAATGTAAGATAAGGAATTTTTTCTTTTTGAAAAATGTCTCAGAATATGCTAAATATTAAAATGTTAAGTTATAAAATGAAGAAACATTTTAAGAGACATGCGTGAAACAATGCATTCTTCAAAACATCATGAAATATTCATAATAATTTCATATTTATTTAAAAAAATATTTATTATGCATCTCATGTGCATTTTTAGGAAATGGGGTGCATAAAAAAATGCATGTGGGGTGCATTTTTGACATAAGAATGGCGACTGGGTGAAGACTGGCAGACAACTTTTTATCACCATTTATTATTTTTAGCTTCTATGTGGTTGGTGGCAACCGTTAGTTTTGCCATATAATTTAGCAATACATATTACTCAATTTAACTTCTAAGCAAACAATATAATAAGTTATACAATCATTTTTATAAGGATTTTTTTTCAAGAACTCTGTAATCTTCAGGGATTTTCTAAAATACTAGGGGCTTACTTAACGACTTACATGACTTAACGAAGTTACTATTTTCTCTGACAAAAACACAACAATAAATTTAAAAAAGCATTATAATAACATTCATTGAAATGATAGGTATAACCAAAACTGTTATACTCTGCATTTCATATTTATAGATTTTAAATTTAAGAAACAGAGTAAAGAAAGAGTTGAAGCAATAAAATAGCTGAAAAAAATACAAAAGCAAATAATTTTCTTCCTTTTTTCTGCAGAATTACATTCTAAAGATATTTTTCTTGTTCAACGGAAAGAAATACTCCCGATTTTTCTGTTCTCATTTCGGAATAAAAAAAATTCACCAATGACTAGCTTGATTCAACTAAAATTTAAAACTGATAAAGTAAAAAAAATAAATAACAACAAAAATTCTGAAATCACAGAAGTTTAAAAGATAATTCACTCTAGAAATGATGTTTTTTCTTTAATTTTTTGAAAGAACACCATAATTTTTAAAGAACACGATAAAAACATTTTATATCTTAATCAAATATGACTGTGAGTGGGAATTTTGTTACTATTTCAGATATTCGGAACACTATATAATTGGGGGAGGGGGGTAGATTCAATTTTAAAAATTATATTATTTGGTGACCTAAATCCATGACTTTTCATGATTCTTTAAGAAAAATAGTTAAAATCATGACATTTCATGACAAATTTTGTTCAATAACGAAATTTAAGACTTTCCATCATTTTTCATGACTTTCCGGGTGCGCTGATACCCTGCAGGGGGCTAAGTTTCCTGTTCACAGCCTGATGATTGCTTCACAATAATTGTTATTACTTGGCAGAAAACAATTTTTCTATGAAAGTTAAAATTATTCACTTAACATATATGTACTTAAAGGAATTCTATTTGCTTGTGCTTCCACTTCCCACGTCCTAATATTATCTATTAGTATTATAATTATCTATTGGTGAACAGAAGTAATTTTTCTAAGTAATAATTTTTTAAAATAGAATTTATATTGTTGTAATATTATATTGTGCAAACAAATTTAATGAATTCACAACTGTAATTTAATATTTTCGCTAACCAGACGGGAGTTATTTATTAAATACTGTTTTTGCTTGCATCTCATTCTGCATGAAGTTGAAGTTCTAAATCATTTAACAGATCTCTTTAATTGTAATTTATAACAGTATATTAATGTTATTCGCACAAAAATAATTGTAAAACTGTTAATAAAATTAGACTACTTTTCTAAAGGAAACAAAGGAAATAAAAATAAAAATATGACCACCGAAGCCGAAGTCTTCAGGGGGTACCTGCCCCGGTAGCCATAAAACAAAACCATTTCTAATCGAGGGAGAAGCAAATGCCTAAATTAACTCCCTCAGTTTTGTTTTATGGCTACCGGAGCCGGTACCCCCTGAAGACGTCGGCTTTGGTGGTCATATTTTAATTTTTATTTCCTTTGTTTTCTTTATTGCTACTTTTTTTGAAATTTCTGCTGCTTTTTAGCGCATTTTTTTTCAAGGAAGTTTTATCTATTTAGAATTAAAAATATTTGTGTCTTCTTTCAGTACTACTCTTCTAAATAACATTATTATAAAATTAAGACCAGAGAGCATTATAATAATTATAAAAACAATTCTCCTAGATTTAAACTCTTGAATTAAAACAGTAATGATAGCAGTACAGGAAAATAAATTAGGGATACAAAAATATTTAGAGAAAAACAATACCTTTATGACTTTTATTAGTTTATGCTGATGACAACCAAAACAATATGAAAATGAATGAGGAAAATCTGGATCCTAAGCAGTGGTATTTATGCCAATAAAAATGCACGCACAACAATGGAAAACTGCATTAGATTTTTATACATAGTAAGATATAAAAAGAATTTCGGTTGAAACCAGAAATTGAGGAAAAATAAAGGAAAATCCACAAGTTGGTAGCTATAAACAAAGAACTAGCAGCTATAATAAATCTGGTTTTTAAGAACTTTTAATTTTTTTATTTTATTTTAATGCAGGATATATATGTTTATCATATGTATATTTTATATATATGTGTCATATATTGATACATATATATAAGAAATTGAGGAAAAATAAAGGAAAATCCACAAGTTGGTAGCTATAAACAAAGTAGGGCAATCTGTTCTCAATAACAACTAAATTTATTAGAACTAGCAGCTATAATAAATCTGGTTTTAAGAACTTTTAATTTTTTTATTTTATTTTAACGCAGGATATATATGTTTATCATATGTATATTTTATATATATGTGTCATATATTGATACATATATATAAGAAATTGAGGAAAAATAAAGGAAAATCCACAAGTTGGTAGCTATAAACAAAGTAGGGCAATCTGTTCTCAATAACAACTAAATTTATTAGAACTAGCAGCTATAATAAATCTGGTTTTAAGAACTTTTAATTTTTTTATTTTATTTTAACGCAGGATATATATGTTTATCATATGTATATTTTATATATATGTATCATATATATTTTATATATGTTTATCATTGAACAGCCGACCCAATTTTCGATTTACAACTATTAATGTTAAACTCCTTAGCCTTGTAATTTTGAACCAATCCAGAAGACAAGGAAATTCCTGGATCAGTACCTCCAGAGGTAAGATTTGTTATGGGAACATGGAGGACTTTGTGACTCGACAGATTTAAGGTGCATTAGTCACAATTTACTACACAGGGAGTCTTCTTCCGGTGGGGACCAAACCCACGACCTCTAAGACGTGGGCCCAGTCCTCTATTAACCAGGCAAGCTGAGTCGCAATGACTCAGTGGACAGAGCGGCTGCCTTCCAATGAGGTGAACCGGGGTGCGATCCCAGCGATGGTCGGTTGATACGAATTCCGCATCTGGCTTGAACCGACGACAGTGCTGGCGTGAAATATTCTCAGTGGTAGTCGGATCAAGGTTTAGAGTGCCCTTGCAGTCCGGCTAACTGTGGGAGCTTCTTGTGGTCTTCTTCTCCACGTAACGCAAATGTGGGTTAGTTCCATCAAAAAGTCCTCCATAAACGCAAATTTCTCCCAATACTTTCTCCAGCAATTCTCCTGTCTTCTGGGTTGGGTTCAAAATTACAAGACTAAGAACATTAGTAGCCGTAAACCCAAAATTTGGGTCGGCTGTTCAATGACGGTTATAAAATAAAATAACCAGGCAATCCCCCTCAAAAAGCAAAAAAATAAAAAGCCCCCCCCCCAAACAAAAAGAGGAATTGAAATTAATCAGGACAGAGTATAGCATGTTTATATAGAAACAGTCAAAGATTTGAAAGATTATATATGCTAAAAAAAATATATGCAAGCGTAACAGAACCATTTAAATGTAATTGACTCACTTCCTTGTATATTTTCTGTAGATATTCTCGAACATTTGTGGAGTTCACATCAGTGTTCATAATCAGTTTGAGTCCAGTTCCAGTCTCGTAGAAATTTAATTTGTACCTGCTGGTACGATAGTTCAGGAATCCATCTTTGCTTTAAATAAAATATAGAAAATAATTATAAATCATCATTCTAAATTATCAAAGAAGTATTATTTCAAGATTAGTAAAAAAAATTATTTTTAGCCATGTTATTGCAAACCAAGATGGTTCTACATTTCCACCATTGTACATTCAACAATTCCAAAATTTTACATTATCACCGCAACAAAAAATTGACCAAGAGGAGTCCGATTGTATTGAAACAACTCTAAGGGGAAACATACGCTTTTGCCTTTTTCCATTCAGTTTCGTGCTTCAATTTTCTTTACTCATGCATTTTTGTAAATGCATACGTAAAAAAGGACCCCTTTTCTTCACGAATTAAATAAAAAAAAAAAGACAAAGTGCTAAAATATATCACTTAATTTATTACATACTGCAACATATGAGGAAATAGTCAGCTAAATCTGCAAAAAGTCACCACTTTCTAAAAAACAATAGCTTTTGTATGCTTCTACTTACGGCGTTTTTTTTTTTTTTTTTTTTTTTTTTTTTTTTNTTTTTTTTTTTTTTTTTTAATAACACCCATCTAAAAGGATCTGATAAAACCCATATTTAAGTGGGTTGTCTTAAGATATAACAAAAAAAAAAGGAGTTGATTTGCCAGTCTTTTTTTCTTTCCGTTATTGCTACAGTTATTATTATAATTTCACACATTTTTAAATATTTTCATAAATTATTTTCATTATTTTTAAGCAAATAATCTTGATTACACTCAAAAAATGTGAGCAAAAAATTTTTGAATACATATTTTAAATTTTTTTTTCATGGAAACATATATTATATTTTAAATAATAAAAAATATTTTAACATAACACCCTCTTTGTATTTTACCAAAATATATTCATTTCAATCATATCACGTAATACAGGGCTCGAAAAACCTCAGAAATTTTACCCATCCCCGAGGACGGCTTGTCCAACAATGTACCCCTCCTCCTTTGAAACTAACCCGTAGCTTCTAAAGAAATTAAAATATAATTTTCTCTTATTTATTACAAACATTTATATAAATTGCACAATGAATTAGTAGTTACTAGGATTACNTTATCCATTTAGGTTAATAATCATAATTGCATTTAACGCTTCTTGTTTCAGACCAGTATGTAATGTGTTTTTTTTTTTTTTTGTAAGTTCATTGGTGAAAAGCCCCTTTCGACCGCTGCAGTACTCCCAGACAGAGAAAACATAAATTCCACCATGCGCAGAATGCTGGTGTATTTCTAGGCTAGACTCTTGTAAGATAAGGAGTAAGGTAAGATAAGACTCGAGGCGCTAGACTCTTGTAAGATAACAAAACTTGAAAATATATCACGACCATTAACGGGAAACTGGCCGTCCGAGTGGACGTCGGATTCGACAAACTTGTTGTCCGCTGGGAAGTCTTGACCGCCAAGGACGGGCGGATGGGCCCTGTTATATTACGGCCCTGACATAATATTAATTTTATAAGAAAATTCTGTCATTTACATTAATTAATGATATATCAGTATTTGTTGTTCGCACACAGCCAGTCAATTATGCGCATTGAACAACTGAATTTTTTAATTGATTTAGTTCAAATAAATAGTATGTAATTCAACAGATAGAAATATGCTTTAGTAAGTAGCATGAAAGCTTTGAAACAAATAAGCATAAACCATCAACAATAGCACAATTTCAGATAATGAGTATAAATTAAAATTTTTACAATCTACACATATTTTCCCCATAGGCATTGCAAGAACCCTATTTTTGAGAGGGCGAAATTAAAATATAGCTTTCAAAATTTCACATATAAAAAAAGGGAATTTTTCTTACATTTATTCAAATATCTCAATGAAAGATTCATTATTTTTAATTTTTTAATTTAGCTGAATGTAAACCAATGATGATGTATGAAAACTTTTGTTATTAGTTTCAAATAGTGAGCAGAACTGAAAAAGAGATTTTAAGAGAACGGAGCAAGTAGCCCCTTCTCCTCCTGTTAACAGCGCCTATATTTTTTTAAAAAATAATAATAAATAAAATAAATAAATAAATAAAATAAATAGAATAAATAAATAAATAAAATAAAAATATTTACCAATCCACTGGCGACAACTTTTGGACAAATGACTTAAGAGAAAATATTAATCCATACATCAGTTTCATTTCCTGAAAATAAGAAGAATTAAAATAAATTACATAAGAAATATATTAACTTTGATGCAAAGCTTTTACTTTTGTATAGTCAGGAAAAAGAATAGTTCCATTGTTAATAAAAATGTTGTCGAATTTTTGACATAAACAGACACAAAACTAAAAATGCAATAAGATAAATTTTTAAAAATAAGATTTTTCAAATGGATAAAAAGGGTGAAAAAAAAAAAGAAAACTTATTTTTGTCAAATCTTGTACAAAAAATGTAAGACATATCATTTCATCCAGTATTGAAAATTCATTCCAAAGTTTTTGAAACGGATGTACAACGCCATATTTAAGGGGGTGGGGAAGTTAGGGACAATTGTTCAGGGACACAAAGACTGCTGAAAGGCAAATAAAATTCCTTAAAATTTTTTTTTTTTAAACTAGCTTTTGTGAAAATCAGTCTCTGTTGTTAGCTGAAAATTCAATTATATCTATGTTACTGTGAATGACCGAAATTGGTGGCTGTTGACTTCACAAAGTCGCTTTGGTAAATGACCGAAATATGTAATAGGTCTAGTTAAGTGCCACTGCCCAATATGCATTTAACCAGTACTCCGAACACTGATGTTTCTCCAAATCCATCTTTAGCAGATATTAAATATAATAATATCAACAAATAAATTTTTAAAAAAATTGGGTATAACTAATATTTGGGGATTCACTTGTTAAAATCTACATTCTCTTGCCTTTGGTCATTCACGGTAAACTACAGGTAAAAAAAAAAGAAAAAAAAAAAAAAAAAAAAAAAAAACTAANAGTATTACTTACGGTAGGATAAAGGATTTTTATATTTTATTTTTTATAACCGTAGTTGAACAGCTGACCTAATTTTGTGTTTACGACTATTAATGTTCAACTCCGCCATTTCTAATGTCTTGCAATTATGAACACTAACACAGAAGACAAGGAAACCCCTGGATTAGTACCCTCCGAGGTATTGATTTGTTATAGGAACACGGAGGATTTAGTGACTTGACAGATTTAACATGCATCAGTCACTATTTACTACACGGGGAGTTTTCGGCCGGTGGGGATCGAACCCACGATCTCTTGGACATGGGGCCAGGGCCCTACAAACCAGGCTATCCTGGTCTCAGAATAAAAAATTTTCAAAAATTTGAAAATATAAAAATAAGACTTTTTGTGTTTCGAGGAAGGGGCTTGTAAAATCTGGGTCCAGCCTTACTGATGTGCCCTGTGTTTGTTTTGATAAAAAATAAAATTATATTTTTCCTTTTCAGTTCACTTGAAAGTTAATAAAAAAAGTTTACTTCGTCTCTAGACATGCCAGCTTCTCTTCTTCTCAGCCATTCATGATAATAGATGCAGGAACCAGCAGAGTTGAAAATGTACAAGTTGTAGATTGTCATTCTACTAATGAAACAAAGTTTATTAGAATGGAGCAACTCTTCTTGGCGATCAAGATATATGAGATTAAAAGTAGACTAAAGGAAAAATCAACGTGAATAAAGCACAAAAAAGGGGAGAAATGGACTTACTATAGTTTCAGTTCTACAAACAAGAACCTTCCTCAGTGTCTGAACAACAAATGATAGCAAAATCTGAGCCAGCCAATAGGGACAGAAGAACAAGCTTGAACAAGATAACAAAAGAATAGGGATAGGAGTAAGTAAAGCAAGAACCCAAAGGTGCAAAAAAAAAGGGAATAAATAAATTTGATTGTATTTCAAAATATTGGAATTTGTTCTAATTTATTCCTTTCCTAATAATCAGAATGCTAATTTTCGATTTTTTGCGCCATTGGGTTCCTGCCAACACCTTGGCACATGTTTTTTTTCCTGTTTCTTTCTTATCTTGTTAAAGCTTGCTTCTCAGCCCTTACTGGTTAAACCACTTTTTTTTTTATGTTTGTCTTTCTACTATCATTTTCCACTATCATTTGGTGTTCAAACAACATTAAGAAATAGAGACTGACAAATGATATAAAATTTTAGGAGTGAGCTATACAAAATTTGACTTTATTGCCTTTTCTGCAAAATAAAAAAACCAGACATACTTGACTGATTTTTAGTGATATGCGACATATGCGTGTTTTTTTGGAACTAAGGAGCAAAATATTCAATTAAATAATGAAATTCAGTAAAATTTTTAAGGATATAAATCATTTAAATTATAATTCCTATAATTTAACAAAACAAACTTTGAAATAAACACTGAAGTAATAGGTAAATTTATATTGTTACCTTCATTACTAACATTAAATAGATTTATACATTAATATTGTCTTTGAGTTTTGACTCTAAAATACCATCAATTAATTCTCGCAAGGAAATAACTATCAATTTTGACTTTTTTTTCCTAATGGCTTATAATTTAAACAGAAAAGGTAGAATAATATATTGAAAAAGCTTGTTGCCAAAGAAATTATTTTAGTTATTTGGGAGACGTGGGGTCAGGATGTGGCAGACCCCACTGAGAAAGTTTCTCGTTTATATCACTGAAACTATAGTATGTTCATTTTATACTTTGATTTGAGCTCTATTAACCTTGTTTTTTGCTTTAGTCTAAACCAGGGGTGATTGTGAGCCCAAGCCAAAATTATGGAATATTTCTTGAGTTAAAAAAAAAAGAAGTTTAAATAGAAAAAAATTTAAACAAGGATTTTTTTCCCCTTTTTTTCAATATTTCTTAGTTTACTTAAAATACATTTAAAATTTTACATATACCTATACCATTTACACATTCTTATGATGACCTGGAGAAGTAATTAAAATTTACAAATATGTCTTTCTTTCCTGAGTTTATGATTATAACAACTATCTACTGATAAAAAATGAATATTAATCATGGATATAAGCTTATAAAGTATCCCTCTTGCTCTCCCTTACAAACAAATAAAATAAACTGAGTTTTTAAGTTCCACCTTTGAAAATTTGATTTCCGGAAACTTCTGTGATCAATGATTTTTTAAACATTTGAACCTTCAATCTCCGGAAACTTCCGGATCACTGTTGGAGAAAAATCCGGAAATCCGGATTTTTTCCGGAGCACAATCAGCCCTGCTAAACATCCCAAAGTTCTTAAGGCAGAATTGCGCCAACACGGCAACATAGTCGTCAAACGTTAAAAAGTTTTTGCAGAAAGATTTTTAATTTGGGAAGGAAAAAATTTTGGTTTTGCTTCTGCATCAATTTTTTGAAAAAAGTTTATTTTTCTAAAATGTTTTTTTTTCAAAGAAGTCTTTCTTGCAAATCAAAGAGGAAAGAACAAATCTTTTTATTCTCCTTTCAGGTTTCTTAAAAAAAGCCTGTAATGACAGGCATCAGCTAGAATTTAACAATATAAAAGAAAAAATTCAGAAATCGTGAAAGTTTAAAACAGTTTGCTCAAGAAATCAGGGCTCGAAAAAACTCAGAAATTTTACCCGCCCCCGAGGACGGCTTGTCCAACAATGTACCCGTCCTCCTTTGAAACTAACCCGTAGCTTCTAAATAAATAAAAATATCATTTTCTCGTATTTATTACTAACATTACATTATACAGTAAAAGAAATACTAGGTTACTAATAGTAAAATCTAGTATTTCTTTTATGAAATAATTTAAATGACAAAAGTCAAGTTATCTGAAATGTCAATTTATCCGAGGGTACTGCATTTTCTAAATGAATTAAATATGACGTTTGCCAGTTCCACAATCAAGCCAATGATTAACAGAGGTTTCTGCACAGAAATCTGAAAGGGGTTTTCCATTTAGGTAGATGTTCATAATTGCGTTTAATGCTTCTTGTTTAAGACCAGTACGCAATGTGTTTTTTGTAAGTTCATTGCTGAAAAGCCCCTTTCAACCGCTACAGTACTCCCCGTCAGAGAAAACATCAATTCCAATATGATCAGTAAGTTGCTGTATTTCTAGATTAGAGGGTTATTTTAGAAGTGAGGTGCTAAACTCTTGTGAGATAGCAAAACGAACATTAACGGGAAAATGGCCGTCCGCGCAGACGTTGGATTCGAGAAATTTGTTGTCCGAGGGGAATTTTTGACCGCCGAGGACGGGCTTTTTTCAAGCTCTGCTAGAAATGATGTTCTTTTTCCATTTTTTTTAAAAACGTAAATTATGTTTTACACACACTTATTTCAGTATCTCTTTTTTAAAAGGAGTCTATTTCCGTGATCTCGTTGTCGATCTTTATTTTGGAGATACTGCACCGATATTATGATTTTTTAAATTTATGTACGGATTTTAATTTATCAATTAATTTTTGAAATAATTTACAAAATTCCGAAAGGGAAAATAATTAGCGCATTTTTCCGCTTACAAAATGCGATAAAACTCCCAAAATATTAGAATTTAAAAAAATATTACTTTTATCATTAAAAATTTTTATTGTACATTTTCTTCTGCAAACACAGTGTTTCAGTTACTTTACTACATTTTCTTCTGTAAACACAATGTTCAGTAATTGTTATAATTATAAGTATCTTAAAGAAAAATATGAATGCTAAGAAAGTTTGTAGCAGAAAGCCCGAAAAAATTCTGCCATAGGGCTCAAAATACACCCTATCTTCTTTTTGGAATATAAAAGAAATTGAGAAACAATAAAATCTGATAAGTCAACTTTAAGATAATAGTAGCAGTGCAGCAATATAGTCCATTTAGAGGTGTTTAGATGTACAAGTTGAATCCCTCACTTACAAAAGTAGAAGAAAGGTGGCCTGGAAAAGAGGAGCGATTTTTGAAGGGGATAAAAAAAAAACCAGAGTCAGGGGTCTGTCCAGACATTTTGTAAAAGGTCCGTTTTTGTAAAATTGTGAAACTCGTAATTTGTGAATATAAAACAGGGTTGGGGTTTTGGACGTCCTTAACTGGTTTTAGACAGGACACGTGGGTTTTACTGTCTTAAACTGGGTAAAACTGTCCTAAACTGGGTAAAACTGTCCAAAACCTTGAACTTTGGTAAAAGGTAAAAATTCTATAGGTGTAACCATTGTACACAAAATAATTATATGTATCAATAAATATTTGATATTTTTTATACAATTTACTTTAACTTATCAAAAGAAAATAATATAATATAATAGGAAAAGGTTTATAATTTTTGAATCTCCATAATTAATTGAACAACAAAAGTGAATACCTAATCCTTTAAATATAAATATGCTTTTAATACTGATAACCAATATTTTTGCATAAGGATAAATATGGCAATATTAAAAAATAATAATTTTTCTTAAAAAAAATACTAAATTTGTTCCAAAATTAACCTTTTATTTTTCACAATATTTTTTTAAAGAAATGTTATAATTTCTGCATCACAGGATGATAAAAAAGACATCTATTTTAAAAAAATTGTTTTTAAATATAAATATATTAGTTTAAATTGAAAATACAAAATAACTGAAAAATGTATTAACAGTTTTGAAGGGCATAACATCAGTTTCAGTTACTGACACTGGTGATGTATCACCA